GCAATAAATGTGGCGTATTTGCCCTTCTTTGCCGCCTCCACTCAACCTGGTCTTTGTTTGGAGCTGATCTTCTACAATCATGCAAGGCACCAGTCGCCGCTTGGCTGGGTTCTAGGCCCAGCAGGGAGACCATTGGTAGTGCTTCATCCAAAGCCGTGGAGAGAAAGTCCAATATGACGGGCGAGGAAGTCATCATCGTCTGTATTCAGCGTCAGGTTCTCTGGCATTGTGGGGGGCATGTTGTGGTTCCAAAACTCGACCTTCGTCAAAAGGGGTATTTAGTGCTTCTTAGGACGACATCGACGATGGGCATGAAGTCCTCGCAGGCCTATCCTGGTACATGCAACTCGTATGTAGTACTTGGGCATGGGCAAGAAACTACGATGGGTTAGTCTTCACTCATTCGAGAAAGCTTCCATGACATATTCTCCACATGATGCTCCCACTTATGAACAAGGATACGCCACACCCGCCTAAAAAACGTGCTGAAAAATCTTGGAACGCACCAAGAAAACAACTAGCTTCTAAGTCCAACCAACATTGACGATGGCTACTGCTATCTGTTTGCGGGGTACACGTATCACAAAAGACTATCAGTCCACTGGCTTTGAGGCTCACTTGGCCAGGAGCCATCGCCTACAGGTATGGCCAATAGCCTCGCTTCATGCATCTTTCGTATTGCTCGTGAGGCCAAGCAATAGGGACTAGAGTCTTCCCAGAGGCTGCACATTGCGATTCCCAGCATCTTCCGTCGCTGGGTGTACATCCGGCCTCTGTGGGTTGCGTCATGACGTTGTGTTGGCAAACTATCGACATCCAATGGTAACCTCAGCGTCGGGATGATACGGAACATCTGAAATGAGCTCAGTCCCTAGCATTAGAGCAAGCCCTCTATAGCAATCCCTCTGGCCTAACAATCTGTCGGAATTTATTAGCGAATGCGGATTATTATGCCGAGGCGAATTCCAACACGGCCTTGCGCCCCCGTTCAGTTGATGTTGACACAAGTGGTCAGACCAGCGCCGAAACAGCCTGGTTTCCATTTGGAAGAATCCTGAAACTAGCCTCGTTGTTTAAAGCCCTCGATAGCATCTGACCACATCTGACCAACCCGTTCTGGATCACAAAGCACTTCCAGATGTTGCTCGCAGACCAGGCCATGTATATACAGGTGTTGTGTCTCCTTTTAGGCGTGATGAACAGATTCAGAGACGGGGAATAACATGAAATTGATTCTACTTGGCTTACACAGTCAGTCGCGAGTCAGTTTCTAGTGGACCGGACGGATAATTCAGACAGACTAGACGGTGCAAGTTAGATGCGACTCTCCACAAGAAAAGGTAATTCCAACATCCGTGCACGGCAACTCCAATAGATCGACGATTAGCGGTTGTGGACTGAAAGGAGAAGCCGCCCAATCGCTTGCTGGTTTCCCTAATACTATCAGGAAGACGGCTAACAGATTCACTCATTGACTTTACTTGCGCCTCGGCTTTTGCAACGGTAATGACGCACCGCTCTTCGTAGCCCAGAGTCCAGACCTTGACCTGCATGGTTGGCTTTGTGAGAGTCCACGCTGGTATCAAGCACCGGGTTTGGTAGTACATATTCAACAGCAAGCCAACTAACCCTTTGTCCGTTGACAGTGAACCGGCCTCGCGACAGCTTCTTGGAGACACAAATTCGACCCTGTTGCGACAGTCCAGATCAGCAGCAACGGACAAGGACATGCAATTAGTTGATTACTATACTTACCCCTTTCAGCAGGCCCACCAAGTGTTAAACAAGACAAGTTGCAATATACATACAACATTGGGCCTACATACAAGTTACAAGACAAAATACGGAGTCTGACAGAGTCAGTTGCCGCAACCAACAGGAAACGCTTCCAACTCGGGCTAGCGGTTGACCGAATCGCTCCGCATCGTGCTCCGTATGCATGGCAAAACTCTTTATTGAGCCCTGGCTGGTTCCGCGCAAAGACCCTGTATCCTTGTTGCAGTCAGCCACAGTCCGGCTTTCGCTTTCCACTTAGCATGCGAAGAAGCCCAACAGTTTTGTCCCGTACAACCCATATCGGTATGCATGAAGAGATGGGGAAATTATACAGTGGACATTGTCCGTGCCTGAAGAACTAAGTTTAGCTATGCTTCGAGACGCCTTCGGGTCCCTCCGACTAGTGACGATGAAGGGTGAGATGGAGACGACAGCCTGATTCTCAACATGTATTGTATGTACATACGGGCCTTGGAACTGTTGACACAGCCGTTTGACAGCTCAATATGCAATTGACATAGCATGTGGTTGGATGACATGAATTTTGGAGTCGCGGCTACCGGAACCTGCCTGATACAGCTGGTCAGATAGTTCCTTGTCGTCACCTTTGGTCGACGACTTTTTGTTTTCCTTGTCCATGATCCGAGTTTCAGTCCTCCGCCTCTCCGAATTCCCTTCATGCAAGAGCTAAAGCAAACAGTATTGCGCAAAGGTACCCGCGTGTGGCTTACTGTGACATCGCGTGGAGGTGCTGGACATGTTGAAGGATGTGCTTGGCAATGGGCAACGAAAATGGACACTGTAAGCTGCCCATCTAGTTGTTGCTTATTGTCGACCATGCATGCCCTGTACAAAATACTACGCCCGAATAGCACAAGGCTGTTATTATAAATAGCCTCAAGGTGGGAGGGACACTTGTAGTATATGCCTATGCTTTGCTTGCGGCATGCTGTTCAGCTTCAACGAACGCAAGCAATATCACCATCCAAGGGGTAGCAACACAATCTCACCAGCTTCCTAACGAGATGAAAAAGGCCCCCAGACGGCTCATGCGCTCTCGAGTGATTCGTTCCGTCGCCGCAGCCCCCATCCGTGTGATCGCCAGCCCAAGATGGTAACTAAAAATGACGCAACCTCTTGGTGGTTCCTTTTGCTGCAGTACGACGACAATTGCTGCAGGTCATTATGGCCGAGGAGGCGCATATTACGCGGTCAGACTAGGCTTCAATGCCCCGTCGCGGATTATACGCAGTGCGTTTTTAAACTAAACATTTCTCGTTGTCCGCGAGCGCAACTTCGAGCTCATGCACGGATCAACGTCTCGACTGGGGTACGAGCCGCAGATTTGGGGGCGGCAGGGCTGTTGTCAAGGAACTGCTTGCTTGTAGAACTGGCAGTATGTTCCATTCGGCGGAGTGCATGGACGACCGACCATTCGGAGGATTTTCAATATGAGCAATCTCACAATCGGGAGACCATCACGGTCGATGGCCACCAACACACCATGCAAAAGAAAAAACCTGTTTCGATGCAAATCTTAATTTTGGGACGGCAAGCGATCGCAGTGTGGTTCGATTGATTCGCGTTTCAACCTTGTGTCGTAGTGACGATCTCATGGATGCCTTAGGGTAGGTCAGAACCTTTGATCAAGAAAACCCAAATACCAAGCGCTCCAGTTCTAAAACAAGACGATGCCATCTAAAGCGAGTCAGGTTAAGCTGCAACAAATCCCAGGCCAGTAGTATATGTATGTTATTTCTTGAAGAACCCAGATCGCCCCTGGACAGGCGCTCTCCCCCTCTTTAGCAGAATATCCTTGCTACTTTTCGAATACTTCCTCGCCTTGGGCGCCAGCCTCCCGTCGACCTTCTTGGAGATTCTATACACCGTAGACCCAATGACTTCGTCGCGAGGACCCCTTCCATCTCTCGACATCCGCTTCTCAACGCCCGAAACCGTTCTCTTGCGGGGCAAGTCTTGTCCAAGTGAGGACTCTGCATCATCTTCCTCCTCGCTGTCCGAGTCTGTCAGGAACTCGGCAGGTAGGACACTAGGGATAACCATCTTTCCAGACAATTTCCTGGCAGAAACTTCTTGGATTGATGCTGGGACTTTTTCAGTCCGAGTTTCAGCCTTTCGCTGTGAAGCTTGCTGTTTGAATAGGGCATCTCGTTGCTGCCGCTTCTGCTTTTCAGCGGCTGCTTGTCTAGCTCCTAGTTAGCTGTAATCGTCCATTGATCATAGAATAATTGGTAAGAATAGTAGATTGAATAGTACTGTGAGAGGGAAAGATACATACTCTCGAGCAGCTTTCTTCTCCGCCTGCGCAGACTTTTTCATCTCAACTGCCACCATGGCGGTGGACACTGCCTCGGGAGCCTCATCACCATCGCTTTCTTCCTCCTGCTGGGCTGGTTTTGAGGCCTCGACGGGCTTAGCGGGAACGACTGGTTCCCGGTCTGCATTGCCGTCGTCGTCAAACGTGATGACGTTGCTCCTCTTGCTCGCCGCCGTGGTCGCCTCTGGCTTTTGCTCTGGAGCGTCGTCCTTTGACCGCACGGGCAGCTTCCTCTGTCGTTTGGTGGTGCTTGTGGGCGGCGAGGGCGCAGGTTGGGCACTTTGAATGGCTGCTTGGGCCATGGCCTTTCGCTTGCGCGTTTCGACGGGCATTGTCGATGTGCCTCAGTGAGTTTCTCGCTGAGATGTCTTGTGGCGTGGTCTGATCCCGGGGAGGAAGTAGCTCCTGTCTAAAGGCCCTGAGAGAATAAGAGGTGGGTGGAAATAGGTTTGATTCAAGTATTATTTTGCTCAACCTGCCCTTGAGTATTTGTGTGTTGTGGAATGGTCCTGTGATGAAAAGATGTTCATACCATGTTGAATTGAGACGACTTTTTTGATATCAAAAAAATTTAGTGGGTCGCTACGGTCGGAACGGCGCGGCGTAGAGCGCTGTGATTGGTCGGTGGAGTCGGCGGAGCTGGAGATGCACCAGACCGGACTCTTTCTCCAAGATTACAATACCAGCTTTGGGAATGAATTACGACCAACTTGTTTCAAACGTTTCACTGAAAATTGTCCCTGCTTAATTTTGCAGATTTTTTTTCTATTTCTGTCATTTCTTCGCATAAAGGGGCATTATTGAACTGGTAGTAGCTGATCCAATGCCAGATTAAAACCATATCCCCCCCAAACCACACCCTCTTTACTATCGTTGTGCTATCAAAATGGCCGTTAGACGTGCTCTATCGCCATGCGCACTCACCCGCCCTTTATCAGCCAGTATAATTCCTATACTGTCAAAAACGCACATCCATCCGTCCACAATTCAACGACTCCAGAAAACGCAATCGTTTGCTTCTCGCTCTCCCCCCAAAGCCCCTTCCTACGCCGACGTATTCACTCTATCAGACATTCCACTCAGCTCCTTCGAGAGCGTCATCTCGCGCAACGGCAGCTCATTCACAGACCTCTCCCCAGAGGAATACTACCGCGTCGCTCAAAAGTTCTCCGACGCAATCAACCGAGGGTCTTCCCCCTGGACCTCCTCATTCACAGGCAGTACGTCGAGCTCTTGGCCGCCAAGGTCCTCGCCGGCTCCCAACCGCAAAAGCTAACTTGGCGCCAGAAGATGCCATCCCCGCAGAAACTCTACACAAGGTAGCCTGCATCATGCGGCAAATCACCGGGCCCCGAAGCGCAGACGCCTTCGCCACCGCCCTCTGGTCAACCGCCTCGGAAATGGGCTACCGTCCGTCGACGCTCTCTCTGGCCCGGCAACTCGTCCGCTCCGGGGCATACGGCAGAGTCCCGCAGCTGCGCAGGGTCGAAGCACGCTTCAAGGGCTTGGTTTCTAGTGGTAAAGATGCGGATGCGCTTACTGCCGAGGGGGAGTTGCTGCTGGAGCAGGGACGGCTGGATGCCGCCGCCGCCGTGTTGACAAAAGCGCTGAAGCTGAGCCCGCGGTTTGAATGGCGACCGTATTGTCGGTTGTGTCTGGGGAGGGCATACTTGAAGATGGGCAAAGTCGACGACGCCCGGGGGCTGTTTGAGAAATTGGCGCAGGAAGGGCTTGTTGAGGCTGATATGGAGTTGGCTGAGATGCTCAGAGGTAGTGACGCGGATGAGGCACGGCAGAGGATGTACACGGCTGCGTGCAATGGGAGGAGGGATATGTTTACGCGTCTTTCAGAGATGGAGTTGGAGCTGGAGGCGGTTGGCGGTGAGAAGGATGGCGAGGAGAGGAGGTTGTGGGCGATGGAGTGGTCGAAACTCGCAGACGGGCGGGTTGAATATTAATTAGACTTGGACATATATTCAATCTTGTATTTAGAAACACCCCACGCCTTCTTTTAAACATCTATTGGATTATACCTTGGCCATGTTCCATCATGATTCCAACTCTACTTCTTTTGCTTTTTAACACCATTACCGCCCTCCCCCTTCCGCCTCCTCCTCTTGTCTCCGACATCTTCATCCCCTTCGTCCGCGTTCTCCCCATCGTCACTCGCAACCATTTCCATCATTTCCCCTCCCTTTCCCTCAAACAGCTCTCTCCACGAACCATCCAGGACCCTCTCGTCATCCCCATACAAACCGACTCCATACGCAATATTCATGGCATTGATGCAAGTCTCCCTCCTTTTCCCAAAATCAAACATTGGCTTCGGATAGGTCCCCTGCTCCTGGTCACCTAGTCCATCACCCACCACCCTCACGCCCGCCTTCTTCTGATCCTGAATCGGCGCCTTCCACGGCTCATATATGTACTTGGAATCCAAATTCTTCAGCTCCGGGACCCATTTGCGAATCAAATCTCCGTTCTTATCCCACTTCTGCCCGAAGGAAACGGGGCTGTAGCACCGAAAATACTGCGAGAAGAAAGCCGTACACGACAACCACTGCCAATTGCCCGCGTTGCAGGCAGGTTCGTGATCCAACAGGTGCACCTCGAAGACCTCTGCGCCCCTCTCCCAGTCGACGTAGCATCCTCCCCTGGTAAGGAAGCACGCTAGGCTATGACGGCCAAGGTGGTGTATCCAACCCGTGTGGAGGAGCTGGCGCATAAGAGCGTCTATCCAGGGGAAGCCCGTAACGCCTCGCTTCCATCGCTGGAACCACTTCTCGGCATCGTCCGAGTCAACTGTGTACTTGTCGGTCACAAGACCGGTCTGCGAGTCTCTCTCCGACGGCAGGTGCCAGGGTATAAAACGACAGTACGGGTTCCCAGCCGTCTGCGTAAACTTGGCACCGACGGCCGCCTGCGCGGCGAAATACATATCCCGAAAGATGAGCTGGCCCGTCAAGCTTGCCGGAGGGGTCGATGCCCCTTTCCCGTAGGCCTCGACCACGTCTTGCACCCGCCAGTAGAACTCCCTGACGGACAGGGCACCAAAGTGAAGAAACGGCGAGAGCAACGTGGTCGACTGCGGCTCAAACTGCGCCGGACTGGTCTTTGGCTTCTCAAACGTGGCTGTATACTTTTCCTTCTTGATAATATCGGCTAGATTCTTCAACGCAATGCTCTCCCCTCCCCTGTAGGGAGTCGTGGCCGCCGGAAACCCAAGCTCCTCCAGCGTCTCGATGGCGAAATCGCCCTTGGGCCCGGCGATGCTCTTGTACGCCGTGTCTTTCTTCTCCCTCGTCTGCGCATTCACATCTGGAACGCTGCTGGGCACGTGCTGCTCAAAGTCGAGCGGCATATCGCCCGGGTCCGGGAGACTCTTGGGCGCGGCTATCGGCCGGGGGACTTGGCCAACCTTCTTTGCAGCCGAGAGCAGCTGCGTCATGGACATGGTTGGCTTGCCGTCGTGGTGGGCGACAATCTCGTCGCTGTCCCAGAGGGTTCTGCCAGAGTGGATGACGACTTTGACGCCGGCTGCCTTGGCTGCCTTGGCGACGACGCCGTCACGCTGCCGTGCATATGCATCGGTGTCCTTCTCGAAGACGAGATGCGTGACTTTCCAGGCTTTGAGGAGCTTGGGGAACAGAGTCTGGGGCGCTTCTCGGAGGACAAAGAGCTTGGACTTGGCGTTTAGTTTTGTGATGGAGCTGGACAGGTCATTCTGACAGTCGAGGCTAATGTGATTCCTGATCAGCACCATGGACACAGGCGGCGAATTGTCTACGGAGTTGAAGTGTGTTCGCGGCTGACCTACAGAAACTGCCATCTATTTGTGCCTCCCCTCGCCCTGTAGACATAGTACGGATCCCAGGTGAATATCGGCCACAGAACATCTGGCTCCAGATCTAGCGCGGCCTTCAATGCGGGAGAATCGTGAAGTCGGAGGTCTGTTCGGAACCAATACACGACCCTTGGCTTAGTCATGATATCGGCCGCCTTGTCTCGATGCGTGTTTTGAAAGTTGTCCAGATGGAAAAGGCTCTTTTGGTCTGGTTAATTTCGCTAATCTGAATGAATGTACAAAAGTACGAAAGTACTCGGTAAATTGGTTTGTGAAACTAGACTTAGATATAAGATCGAGACATTGTTTTTTACACGTCGTAGAAATGATCCATTTCCCCCTCAAGAACCTACATGCATGTAATATTGGTAAAAAGCAAAAGTCAAAACGAAAAAAAAGAAAAGAAGGAAGATTGATAGTCATGATGTCAGTACGCTGGTGCCCCTCAAGATGCTCAAGTGGCTGCCCAATGGCCTGGATCGATGGCATCTTAAGACATCAGATGTGCGGAAGGAGAGTGACCCACTTCTGCAGGCACTGGGCGAATGACGTGGGATGCTCGGGTTCCCGGAAATCGAGGTCAGCAAGACCAGCAAGCTAGCATCGGCAGTTTGCGAGATTGAACACTCAAGATCTGTTGTACCTAATACTTCTGCCCAGTTGCTTGGTAAAGCCCGGCGATACTAGTACGGAGTGGTAGCAGGAGTATTTGTGTGCGGCGTTGAGAGCCTGTCTATTCCGTATCATTGGCACGAGCAACCCTCAAAGCTGTCTATTGACATAGTCTGTGCTTCACACACGCGTTCACCACCCCATACCTAGAAAGGCAGTCAGCTGTTATTAGAAACACGAAAATAGTCTTCAAATAACTTACTAGTCCTTGAGCCAGCACGTTCGCGTTGGACCAATCGTGCGTCGTTCAGCCATCGCCGCCACTGCAGCCGTGCAGCCAGGTCATGCGGCGACGTCCTGGTCATGGTCTTGCTCACGGTGTATGACGAGGTCCATGGCCACCAAGGTTGGAAAGACCCAAGGTCAGCAAGCGCAAGTACACGCATTGCATGACAATATAATACAACTTTTGATTGCCAGTCAGTCTCTGGCACCCACTCACACCAGAAGCCAAGGTTGACCAACCCTAGAAGCCCCACCATGCCACTCACTCACTGCCCACTTCATCGCCAGCATAAGTAAGCAACGCCAAGCATCACAATGCTGTAGAATGTCAATACGTGTACGTCACTACGGAGTGCACTACCTAGGTAGGCAATAATCCTACACGGGACTCGACATGAATGTCAATATTGACATTCTGCGGGGCATAGTGCTGTTGTCGCGCCTTGTTGCCGGTCTCCGGATAAGGACTGTTTTACTCTTCAAAGAACTACGCAGTAAACAATCAGCAGTGACTGAGACCTCATTCATCATGAACCTGTTCTTTGGTGTGGGGTAGTTAATCATGAGATGAATTGTCATCTTGATTGTGATCGGCAAATGCCTGACCATTTTTTTGACTTTTCCTTCTGCCGGGGCATTTGCCCACTTTGCCGGCACACACTTTGTCTCGGGGGTAAAAGGGTCAAAGGCAATGACTGACCGCCAACCGTCTTCCACGGCCCAGCAGCCCTACATGTTGTAATTTCTGGGCCTGCAGCGAAGCAAGACTCGAGAGGCGCATTGCGCATTGTGCATTGTGCATCGTGCATCATAGTACATATTGTGTCGGCTGAACGCATCGGCTCCCTGCGTTTGGCACCATTGGGGTTCTTGGTGTAGTCCCAGTTACCGCTGCCGATTCCATCCACGTCTGGTATTTCTGGATGTCGAGGTGAGCTGAGCTAGAGCTAGCGACGCGTCAAGGACGGCTTAGTTTGTTAGTCTGGTTTGTCGTGAATGATGACACCGTATCATCATTTCCGTTGTCATCGCCTTGGTATGATGGACCACGGCTGTTGTCGAGGCAATTGCGTATAGAAACGCAAAAGATGAAAGTAATCAGACTTGTTGTTTTCAACGGCCAAGTGGGCACGCCGCACTTTATTGTATGCAGGGTGCTCGAGTGGGCAGTAGGAACATTGGAAGCCCACGAGGACATGCTAGTACTACTACTAGCATAAAGTAACCATACTCGAGGTTGCGACCTTGCAATTGCACCCATTACTCCATTCTAAGGAAATACAGAGTACATATACTCCGTGGTTATATACAACATGTCGTACGTGCACAATTGCTCCTGCAATCTGCCTCCCTCAGTAGTACCTTCCTAAAGTACTTAAGTAGCTACCTTGTACATATGTATGTCTGGTATCAGATGCTGGAAGGGAGCAAGAATCTGTGTTTGACCCCCTGGGCAGGCAGGGCTCGAGCTGTCGCGGGCGGTACCGTGATAAAACTTGTCTGGTAAGTAAGTAGGATTGCAACGGCAGCCCAAGTACATGCAGATTGATCATGCCAGATATGCATCTCATTACGCCTCGCCCTGCTCGTAAGCAATAACTTGACACTACTACTAGTACTACAAACTGTTCACCTTCCACCTGGCTTGGCCGTCTGCACCCACTACCGGCCGGGCCAGGAACCAGGTTCATCAATCCTGTGGGACTAAAACACGTGCTTCCTCCAGCTTCTTCGTTTTAAATTGGCAACGAGCCGGTGGAACATCCGTAGTTACCGGGTATGATGTAGTACGTGGTAGTTGCAGAGTTTTTTGCATGGCCATCAGTGGCTTGAAGTATGCGGTGCTCACACCACGTTTTGAACTCTGTACGTGATGAAATATGCAGGGACATTTGTTGCACCATGTCGACTGGTTGATCCTTTCCACCCAGTGTCGGCTAATAAGGCCCTGGCCATCATTGAGGCCACCTTGGAAAGGGTGTAGGCATGCGCAGGATAATATTTGCATTGTAGGTCCAGCTCGTGTAGCCCGGGAAAAAAAGAATTACATCATTAAGCTATTTGCTTGTTGTTTTTGTTTTTTGTTTTTGTTTCTGTTTCTGTTTCTGTTATGGTTGTTTATTGACCAGGGTGGTCTTGGTGTCAATCTGATTTGTGCATTGTTTGCCTAGGAGCCCGTGAGGTATGGCTCTGGGCTCACTAGAGCGTTGGTGCGTGCAACAGAGGTTGCCGCCTAGCAACGTGCTGAAAGACGACACCTGCTCCGGTAAAGCCATCCAAACTCCAGCGGGCTCCAGCGGGCTCCAGCGGGCCCCAGCGAGTCGCAATAGACTGCACATGTGGAAACTTGTGCCTAGATCCGGGCTAGTGCCCCATGAGCCGCCACGAGGCTCCACGCACTGTAAGTTTTGATGTTTCGTGACTGCTTTCCTCTGTCCCTTTTGAACCAGGGGAAGAAAAAAAAATCAAACCACCAGGCTTTCCTCCCACTTTGGACCTCGGGGGAGGATCTGCGCTTTGTGTTTGCTGCAGTTTTTGAAACGTCAGGTTGCCAGTATAGAGCCTAGCTGCTCGTGCGCGCCTCACATCCCCAGGTTGCGTTTCAACTGTGCGCCCACCAGTAGCATGGAGTACCGAAGTGTCAGGAACAGGCATCGACTCATGTCTCCAATCGGATGTTGGTGGGAAGGAGCAGTTGGGGTGCTCGTTGCTGGTAAAGTCCGCTGAGGTACCGGATACTCTGGGTCATATACAGGACACGACTTCTAAACATGTATACAGTACGCGGCCAGTATGTCTAATGTCTAACAGGCTTCTGCCGTCTCACGTCCTTGTTTCCTCTTGGCGCCGCGCTCCTTCCCCGCCTGCCAACGGCCTGGCCCACAATACCCCCGGTTCTGGGTCCCCAAATGCAAGGAAGCTTGTTCCTGGTCGTGCCTGGTTGCTTGCAGCAGAATTCTATCCCACTGGCTGAATTGAGGAAAAAGTGCTCGAGTGCACAATGCCGGACAAGCATCCTCTCCGACAAGATGCTTGCACGCGACGGTTCCATGCGCTTCTGACGCGTTTACTCGGAGCTGAGGGCTTTTTTTTTTTTTTACTTAGCTCATGGGTATGACCAACAATTGGCCTGCTTCGTTTGGTCGATATTCTTTCCCTCCTCTTCCATTCCTCCATTTCTGTGATGCTCGCTCTTGCACCTGAAAACGACGACGGCTCTGATTATTCTACATTCCAGTACCCCGGGTGTTCATGACACCCTGCCTTAGTTTTCCTCTGCGTATTTCCGGTGGAACCACAAAACATTGTTCGTCGTTCGGAGAGACCAACGACGCCACGGTCTTTGTCACAATTGTCGTCGGTGCTCTTTTCTTTGTGTGACGGCCGGCACCAGTACTTGTGGCCATTCTCTGCCAAACAAGTCTGTTTGCACATACAATACTCTGCCAACCGCCGCCGCTGTCGCCACCTCTTTCCAACAAACAGTTGAGAGCTCAATTCTCGAAATTACGACGTCAGGTTCACGTCTATTTGACAACTATTTATGGTCAATTCGCTTTGCCGTCTATTACGATTGCGGGACTGGCAACTTTTTATATCTGCGGTGGAGTCATCGTGACTTGATGGCTCCCACTTACTATTACACTCCAATTCTGTGAGAAAATCGACGACGGTTGAAATTAATTAACAGTCCACAAAGTTTGGAGAAAACGGCCACGCAAAATACACTTTTACGAATCCGATAAAAGCCAAGTTACCGTGTGCTCCCGCAGGTGATTGGGCGCCGCGACCACAGTCGTGTTGTGTTGTGTTGGGGCGGATTCTTTGCTTTTCCCTTTCTCTAAGGCTTTGACAGCCTCCTCCTGCTGGCATGATGCTCCGCGCCGGATTTCTTCTCATCGTCGCCGGAACGCTGGCCGTGCTTGCAACATCCGTTACCATTTGCCTCGAAATTATTTCGTGTGTGCATGCAGCAAAGAATTCCAAGTTGCTTATAGCAAGCAGCACGGCCGCCGCCTTGGAGTCCGTTGTCCTGCTTATACTTGGTGCACTCGGCATAGCACAAGCTGTACCAACAAAGGTGCCCTTGTCATGGAAGTGTTCTTTACCTGCATTTATAACTCAACTCTTTGCTTGGCTAGCTGCCCTGGTAGCTTCCGTAGTCGCTTTGGTCTACTTGCAGGAGTGGTGGACACAGCTCGAACTAGACGACGAGGCCGCTGAAGGACGTTGGAAAGTCTTCGTCGGTTCAGCAACAGTTGTGGCCTTTTCCACCGCTCTCCAGCTTGGTTCCATAATATTGCACTTTGCGACAAGTCGAGATGTTACCGCTGGAACGGCTTCATCCTTTCATTCAAACGAAGAGGGCCGCACAATGAATATCAAATCCGTTCGATATAGCCGAACAACTGTTGGGGCCGCTCTCCAGGAAATGACATCAGTGAGAAGCAATGAGTCTTCGCCGCCTTCGCCGGAAAGCTCAAGCATGGGGCCAATTGACTACTTGAAGGCATCCATGTCTCAAGCCATTCGACCTGCAGCATCCCGAACCAAATTTTTGAAGAGTGGGCGACGAAGAGCGACTTCACTGGACTCGAAGAATCCTCGTAAGAGCACAGATACGTCTTTTGATTCTTGGGACACTTCATCTGTGGACATGTATAATCGTCAAGTTGTCATAGAGATGTCATCTCCAGCGACTCTCAATAGAGGCTTAGAGACGATTCCTGCTAGCCCGTCTGGGAGCCGCTCTCCCACCCGGCCAGGCACTCCTCTCGATATGGAGCTGGAGCCTCCCCGTATGCTATATAGAGCAGAGAGTTATAGCTCGAGCGTACTATCACAACAAGATCCCCACAGGCTTACCCCCGACAGCTCTGTGAACGAGGCACATATTCACCCACTCTTTCGATCTGATTCCCCGACGCCACCTCCCGCCGCAAGTCCCGGCACAGTTGTCCTGGCTGCGCCAAATGCCGGGCAAGTCATATCGTGCAAGTCTAGCATGCAATCTATGAGACGCCTGCGGAGTGGAAGCTTGCCTGCGACGCCTAGCCCTCTTATCCACCAGGCCAGCTTCGACCTCCTGAAACAGTCCAAAATGGGGGATGACGGCGATGTTGGCCGAAAGAGTTCTGGTACACGAAGCGAGCGCAAAATGACGCCACCTGTACCTGAATGGCTGCTAAGCCCGTCTATGAAGACCAGCCTGGAATCATTCCAGGAGCAGAAGCAAGAGAATGACGAGGAGACATAATGAGGGGACAGAAATGAAGTGACGATCATTGACTTTTCTTTGTATTTGTACGCATGGCTGTGAGCGATTCGACCTGAATATTCTTTTTTTTTTTGTCACTCTTGGGTTTGATGGGGATACGAGATTGGGGTGCAAACCTCATTATGTTGATATGACTTTGGGTATAATTGGTTGATTTGTACAAAGAGCGAGGCGTTGTATTTAGATGACGGGACATGTAATTTTTATTAGCGGCCATTGCTGGAGAATTCAGCGATGGACCATGAGGCAAAAAATCAAATGATATTCAAGACTAGATGTACTTTCGGGTCTCATCCCCTGGTGAATGTGATGCAGGTCGGATACGTCTTTGGCGCAACTAGCCGCCGCCGCCCATGGACCATGGTTCACCATTCGCCACCCCGGGAAATTTGGCAAAACTGGCAGTCTTCAGCTTCGCGCAGCTGCGAACCCTGCGTTCCTGTATTATTCAGCTTCTACAGTACATACCTACAAGTAGGTAGTAGGAGCCTGCACAATAGTAGTTGCAAGGTGGGGGCTTGCTTCTTGCATGACTCCAACTTGGACATTGGTCTGGACGGTCCTCGTGGTTGAAGCAGCACGACATGTTTTTTTCGCTGGCTGGCTGACAAGACCAGATTGACCCCACCTCGACAGACGACTGCCCGCCCACAAAGAGCCAAAGAGCCAAAGAGCCACCGGCGTCGAAGTCGGTCTTCAGCCAACCATTGCTTCCGTCATCGTTGCCATCTTTCTCTCCTCCAACCTCTCCAACCTCTACCGTCTCGCCTGCACGGACAATTTGCCTGGGACCTAGATCTCACTGACGACTCTTCTTCTATCGCAGCTGTCGAGCTGCGCCTCTTCTGCCCATCATGAAGGTCACGTTCCGAGTATGCCTCATCCACAACCCCCCGCCACCGTTGGTGCTTGTTTGATTGGAAGCTGTTTTGGGTACATTGGTCTGAAGCTGTGTAGCCTGGCTGCCCGTGCTGAGGTGCATCGCGGAAATGTAGCTGACTCTTGGTCTATTTGCGCAGGATCTGAAGCAACAGAAGTTCGTCCTCGAGGTCGAACCCACCGACCTGGTATGTCTCACCTGCCACGATACCTCGGCCGTTCCGATATCGACCATGTCAACAACACACGCCGTGACTGACTGGAATATGTCGTAGATCTCGGCTGTCAAGGAAAAAATCTCCGGAGAGAAGGGGTGGGACCCTAAGCACCAGAAGCTCATTTATTCCGGTTCGATACATGGCCTGCTCCAAGATAATACCTCTGCCTTGGCGAACTGGATTTTCTGACCAGGTTTAGGCAAAATTCTGAAGGATGATGAGACCGTCGCTTCCTACAACATCGAGGAGAAGGGCTTTGTCGTCTGCATGGTGAACAAGGTATACTATTTTGAGTCAAATGCGCCGCTGCTTTCACCAAGCTGGAGGGCTAACATATATTCAGCCCAAGGAGAAACCAGCCCCTGCCGCTGAGTCTTCAGCTGCTGCTCCTCCAGCCACACCCGCACAGCCTGTTGCAAGTACTCCTGCTGTTCCAGCTGCTCCCGCCCAACCTTCCACTACTCAATCCGCCGCCCCGGCCACGCCAACTCCGCAACGTTCTGGCGAAGCTGGGGGGGAGACAGGCTCAGGCCTGGCTATGGGTGCTGAGCGAGCTGAGGCCATTACAAACATGGAGGCTATGGGATTTGAGAGGAGTCAGATCGAGGCCGCCATGCGCGCTGCCTTCAACAACCCTGACCGTGCGGTCGAATATCTTTTAAATGTGAGTGATGGGAGGAGCACAAAGTGATACAATGGTGAAGGACACACATCTGATAAATCTCAAAGGGTATTCCTGAGAACATTCAACAAGAACAGCATGCTCGCCAGGCTGCCGCAGCCGGACCGACGCAGGCCACCCCTGCCGCCCCCGCCGCTCAAGAGGGCGGAGAGGATGATGGAGGCGTAAACCTCTTCGATCTTGCCGCTCAGGCTGGTGGGGGTGGACGCGGAGGAAGTGGCAGTGGTAGCGCGGCTGCTGCTGCTGCTGCTGCTGCGGGTGCAACTCAGGGCGGTGCAGATCTGGGCAACTTGGATTTTCTCAGACATAACCCTCAGTTCCAGCAGCTCCGCCAAGTTGTTCAACAGCAGCCTCAGATGCTCGAGCCTATTCTACAACAGCTTGGCGCCGGCAACCCCCAACTTGCACAGCTGATTGCCGCCAACCCCGACCAGTTCCTCTCGCTTTTGGGCGAAAGCGCCGAGGACGACGTTCCCCTGCCCCCCGGCGCCCAGGCTATCTCTGTCACAGAAGAAGAGCGCGATGCTATTGAACGGGTGAGTTGGATGTAATCTTCTAAGATCCGGTGCAGATATGAAGTGCTGACGGAATATAGCTATGTCGTCTTGGTTTTGATCGTGACCAGGCCATCCAGGCTTATTTTGCATGTGACAAAAACGAAGAGCTCGCCGCAAACTTCTTATTCGACCAGCCTGATGACGATGAACCTCCTACCAACTAAGGTGGCTGGCATTGGTGTGGCAGGTACCGTGTGGAGGACAATGACAACAACGGTGGAAGCAGAAGCACTCACGAACGCTTGTTATGATTATGAAACAAAACTCCGAACGAGGTTAATGACAATAGCCGCTGGGGAGGAGTTTAATGTCACGATTCCAAAGGGAGGCGAAACGTGGGGATGGAGATTTCGCTGGTTCAACTACACAGTTACAACATTGGAGAGCCCATTTTTTTTTCAACAAGTGAGTTAGTGTGGGAGAGGACATGTTTGCAAGTGGCAATCAATGTTTGAGGTGCTGGACTGCATAGGCACTTAGGTTGACATATTGGCCTAGAATATTTCGACAGTGAATGATATTGCAGTCTCCGCAAAGCCATCTCGTGGGCCACTAATGTATATAAACGTACCGTGCCATGTTCTAATCTCGTCGTGCAAACATATTCAGCTGTAGAAGACCGCTCCCGCTATGACCTGCCAACTCCGTCCTTGTTTCCCTGTTCACGTCAGAAATCTCTCGTGGGTATCGTGTATCCCCCCCTCCCCTGGGCCCGTCGCTACATGGGAACATGTATTCACGCCAATAAAGCAATCCTCAATCTCCTGTGATTGGCTCGCCATTCAAACCGTACTGAATCGCCTGCTTGCCCTTCTTCTTGCCCTTGCCTTTCTTCTTGAGCCCGCCATCTTCGCCGTCCTCGTCCGCAAACAGCTCCTCCTTCTTCTTCCTCATAATCTCCGCCTGTTCATCCGCCACCCTCTGCCTCTCCGCCTCGTAAGTCTCCTCGATCTTGCGGTGCTCCGCCTCAATCGTCTCCAATGATTCGAATTCGGCACCCGTGAACGCGCGGTATTCGTCAATGTCTATCCTTATAGTCTTCTCACCCATGACCGCGGCGTCAATGAGTTTCGGGTTGTGCCGTTCTTCGCGGTTGAATTTGAGTTTGATGTGGCGGCGCTGTTTGCCGGGGAACATTTTGGAAATCATTTCGAACTCTGTGCCGAACATGCGCAGGCCGCGGTAGAAGAGCTCTGTTTCGGGATCCGTCCAGACGTTGGGGCCCCTGAGCTTGGAGGTGTTCATGAATGAGGACGAGGTGATGAGCCGCGTGAAGTCGTTTTCTTCAATGGTCTCCATGTCCTCGTTTGCGCGGGCGGCGGCGGCGCGGGCGTGCCGGTCCATGACGAGGGAGGACTGGTCGACGATGATTTGGCCGTCGACGATGCGGAATTGAGGGCCAGCTGTGGCCGCCGCTGCCGCCGCTGCCGCTGCTGCTGTTGAGGGTGTTGAGGTGCTACTGTTGGCTTTGGTGGTTGTGTCGTTCGTTGAGCCTGGTGCCGGGGATTGTGTGCCGTCGACGCCTGCTTCGCTGGCGGTGTCGCCGTCCTTGTCGAGTTTTAATTTTAAACGCGCTTTGCGCTCGCGCTCGCGCAGTTCGTCGTGGCGACTGAATTTCTTGCCGATTCGCAAGTCCCGTGTTAAGTCAGACATTTTGAGCTTTTGCAGGTCGACGACCTGGTCCTCTGCGTCTTCGGGGGTGAGAGAGCGGGCTCGGCGGGAACTGGATCGTGATCCGGTGGCATTGGGCGTGCTAGTCTTGCGCTTTCGTGGTGCGGGGGTTTCAGTGCCGTCATGTTGACGGGATGTTTTTCGCTGGCGCTTCTTGGGCCGTGAAGGCTCGCCTTCTGGTGCAGATGTGGTAGCATCTGCGCCAGTTGTTGACGGTCTCCTGGCCCTCGTTCTGATGGATGCTCTAGAGGCGGAGGTAGGCTCTTCTGAAGCAGTTGCGGATGAGCTCTGTGTTTCTCTTGGTGGCGCTGTAGTCCTGGCTGTGCTGCCTTCTTCTGATGATGTAGATTGTTCGGGCGTTTCTATTGAAGTTCTTGGTGGTGGTTTGGCGGCTGATTGACGTCTCGTTCGCGCGCTCGGTGCCGATTGTGACGGAGTATCGGCTTTTGGTGGCTCCGTCACAGGAACAGTGGTTGAGGTCGTACCACTGGCTGCCGGTGTCTCTTTTGGAACTTGCGGTCGTGAGCTGGACTCTAATTGGGATGCCCGTCTCGTGGTTCGCCTTGATGGTTCAACGGGAAGTTCTTTCTCAGGCTCTTTTGCTAGTTTTTGAGCCGCGGTTTGGGGCACCCCGTGCGTGATTTCGTGTGTATCTGGTTCCTTTTCTATAACCTCCGGCGCCGTCTCTGGCAATGTCTCCGAGCCGTCATCAATTGTAGGTTGAGGTGGTGGTGCGGTTTTTGTGGTTGGTGCCGATGCCCCTGGTCTTGGTCGCGCGACCGGTGCCTTGGGCTTGAAGGCAAGCCCGCCTTTCTTCTTGAACATGGAACTCATGTCGTACTAGTAGTGAGTACTATAACAGTGACGGAAATTTAAGAGAAATCAACAGCGTGACGCTCTTTCGCGGGACAATTGATGGATTCACACTTGACGCTCACCCGAGTAACTGAGAAATAAAGTGGGTTGCCTGCAAAGCGTTCGGCTGCAAGCGAGGTTTAACCGGGTTCAGCCATCGATAAGAATACCAAAACAGGCTTAGCGCGGGACTAGTGTCCTTTGGCCATGCCTCTCTGATCTTCGAGTCGACTTGGAAATTTCAACTCCTGGCCTCGATCACCCTCCCCCCATCACCAATCTCTTCCCCCCAAAGGCAATTCTTCACGGAACTTGCCTTGATGACAGCCCGCGCGGTGTCAGCTGCAGGACGAGACGTGGCTCATGAGCGTTATAGCTGCCAAGCTCTCGCTCTGAACAGCTTCTCGCACCGAGTTTCTGTGACCCTTTGTTTCGTTTGACGCGTTGTCTGATGCCTGTAGCAACGTCGCCGTCCACGTCGCCTCGTCCATCCGTGGTTCCCAAAATGGAGGACAGGAAGAGGCCCGCCATCGGCGGCTCCGATGATCTCGCTGCTCCCCCTAGTAAGCGAGTCGCCGTGAATGGTTCCAAAACAAAAGATGATGCGATAGAGATGAAGGAAGAAGGTTGGATCGAGGTGAGTGTCGCACGAGCATGATTTTCGATGCCTCTTCCGGCAACCTGGCACACGACCACACTATTGCACTCGGATTTCGAGACTTTTGGTACTTGTTTCCCTTGTCTGAGTGGTACTTTGGGACATTTGCGACCCTGATCCTGACGAGGCTTGCGGGTATCGCATGGCGTCGTGAGGGGTCGTAACCAGCGGCACACTTGGCCCTCACTGCAGCAATTTTGGCTTCAACTGTCTCGACTGTGGTCAGGCTCAGCCAATGAACGATTTTGGTTGTTCTTCCCCAATGACTTTCGTGCTGACGATCAATTTTAGGCCTATACCAAGGGGGCAATTTACCGCCAAATGCAAGAGTACAGTCGTAAAGCCGCGACAGCTGAATCACGCCTCGAAGAATTGCATAAACGATGTGTACATCATGATGACCATTTAAGGATCATTGATGGCTGGTGGCGCCAAGTAAGTGCCGAAGACGACTGCTATTGACGCAGCCCAAAACTAACAGGCTGGCTAGTTACTCGAGGAATTGGAAGTTGCAGCAGAGCCTACCTTATCTGGAAATGCACCCACGACAGGTACGGAAGAGTATGTTGCCAATGTTGGGTCCAATACTAATGCTTGATACTCCTAGATCCACCCTATCTCAGCGCAATCGGTTTCAAAGACTTAAGCGAGTTTCAATCCCATCTCTCAGACAAGGGCAAAACTATAAAGACAAAAGCCGAGTCACTGCTGAGTCGTATTGCCTCGCAGCGCGGCTCCCTGAGTCCAGACGCCGCTTCTTTGGAAGCGAAAGTGAATAACTTGCTTGCCGCGCAGAAGGAATATATGCTGAAGCTGGATCGTTTGAACACAGAGAAGGATCAACTCTCCGAACAATTGAATACCGCCACATTAAGATACTTCAAAGCCGAAAAGAAATTAGACAGAGCCAAAAGCTCTCAGGTGCAAAAGTTGGAGCAGCAGGCTTTCGCAAATGCTACCCGCCCTTCCGGAGCGACGGCAGCGGCAGCAGCGGCATCGGGTGAAGTCGGCTCAGAACAACACGAAGTGAATGGTTCATCGGATGAATTATTGCTCAAGTATGAGGAAACAACGGCCTCTGCAGCGAAACAGAAGGAACAACTGGATTCTATCCTGTCGGAGTTGAAGACGGCGCAGGACGAGAATTCAACACTGAAAGCCCGCCAAAACACTTGGTCAGATGAGGATTTCATCCGAACAGACGTCTTCAAGCAATTCAAGGCGCAAAATGAGGATCTCATTAAGCGAATTAATAATCTGGAGGCGACAAATAAGCAACTTCGGGAGGAAGCCGAAAAACTGCAGGCAGAGCGGACATCCTACAAAACCCAACTGGAAACTGATGCGAGCCAGGTAACACAAGAGTTGGAGGCTGATGTCATAACTAGAGATCAGGACCTCGCCCGAGTTCGTTCTGCTAGGGACGAGATACTCGCAGAGAACACACAAAGAAAAGCCAGCATGGAGCAGGAGAAGGCCTCATTAGGGCATGTCAAGGAATTGATTAGCGCGAAGGACGATCGCATTGCCGCTCTGGAGTCTCGCCTTTCGCGGCTTGAACCTGCCGAGGACCAGGAAATGGTCAATGCAGATGATCTCACGGAGCTTTCCGAAGATGAGCTCCGGCAAAGGTATAAAAAGCTGCAACAAGATTTCCAGTCTATCAACCAGGAACTGCCATCCATTGAAAAGGCGTACAAGAAGATGAAAGATCAAGCACAGAAAAAGGTGTTGGACTTTGTAGCCTTGGAAGAAAAGGTTTCTCTTTTGATTGCAGAGAAGAGCAAAGCAGACCAAAAGTACTTCGCTGCCAGAAAGGACGCCGACACCCGAAATAATGAGATAAGGTCACTGCGGCACCAAAACAGCAAGAGTACCGAGATCATTACTCAGCTGAAGGACTTGGAGGCACAAAATAGATTACTCCTTGGCAATTTGGAGAAGCAGGTTGCTGATTTGAAGCAGTCAAATGCTCTTCTAACAGCTGAGAACAAGAAGATGGAATCGACGAGTCTCGAGGCAGTAAGACGTTCTGATTCCCTAAACCGACAAATCAGCGACTTGACGAGTTTGGTGAAATCTCGGGACAATGCATCTGCAGCTGTGCGAGAGCGAAATACGGTGCAAGAAGCCGAGGTCGAAAAACTCAAGGTTCGAATTGAGCATACTCAGAAGGACCGAGATAACTGGAAGAACAAGGCGCTGAGCAACTCATCAGAAGAGGAAGAGATGCTTCGGGTAAGTTTACAACCTTGCATTCTCCAATTTTGCCGTGCCATCAATGTCAAGATGCTAACATACATCGCAGACATTTGCACTATGCACAATTTGCAGGAATAACTTCAAGAACACGGCTCTAAAGACTTGCGGCCACTTGTTCTGTAACAAATGCGTGGACGATCGTATTAGCAACAGAATGCGCAAGTGCCCGACATGTTCACGAGCCTTTGATAAGATGGACGTTATGCCTGTCCATCATTAAGTAATTTAACTTTGATTTGGTGGCATGCTGCCACACTGAAGGAACAAAAAAATTTTCATTACAAGATAACGCTTCCGCAAGGGCACCCGCGACTGGATTTGGCCAACATTCAGCTTGGAATGATGCAGCCATGTATATCGATTGCTATTAGAAGTGGGTAATGGGCAGCGATGATAGCTATTCATGATGTCTCTCGCTCGATACGAAGGCTCGCGAAAGGTCGAGGCGTTTTACTAAGTCATGTCAAGTCCGGCACATACCGACGACATGTCATTGTTTGGATATTGTACTACTAGGAGCAGAGGTGGGTGGTAGTGGGGTTTGAACTTCGACTGTGTACATGGTAGCAAGTATTATTATAGATCTAAGGATCGTCGGAGTCCGGGAAGGGTGGCGGAGTTTGGGGCTACATTGGATACTTGAATAAACTTTTCAACATTGTTGAACATATATCTAAACGACTTCGTAATGCCGGGTGATTGGATACATAAGGTTGTAGGTATATTCACGCTGCTTTTGTCAAGTCTGGGTTGACATAACAAGTATCCTCTTTATGACACATCAGTATGTCTCTTGTCGACTTGTTCAATCTATCTACGTCGAGTAGATCCGAATCCAGTGCTCTCATGCCTCGATGAACCCCCGCTGCTCGATGATCCCCAAGACGCGGCCGGCGACGCGCGAGGACTGGCTGGCCCAGAACCCCAAGTATTACTGCCCCATCCACGATCATACCCTCTCCTCTCATCATTCCTACTCCTATTCCCCGCCAGGTATCCTGCCGCAGCACCTCCCGCCAAACCACTCCAAAATCCGGGACCCCAAGCAGACCCTGAACTCGACGGTTTCGTCCCAGGATACGGTGGTGGAGGATCGTTCCCGGGTCCCCATCCTCCTCCGCCAAAGCCACCACCGCCGCCGCCGCCTCCGCCGCCTCCCCATCGCCGTCCAGTATTCCCCCGTGCCTGTCTGCCCCCATTGCCGGCAACACAAGCCGAGTACACAATCCACCCCAGCACAGCAACAAACACGACTGTGAACAGCCACGCACTCAGATCCGTGCCGCCCCTCCCATCACTGAAATACCCGCCATACGGGTTCGCGATGTGCGGATACCGCTCCTGGCCCTTGCTCGTCAACAGCAAGCTGTACTCGACGCCACATGAGCCCTTCAACACATAGGGGTCGTCGGCACTCGCGTACCCCTCGCAAATGACGTCCGTACTGCCGAGTTTCAGCTCCTCGGGCAACGTAGCCGTACAGCTCCATTCAATATCTTCACCGCCATACGAAGACCCCTGATTCGTGCAGCGCATGGTATCGATGCTGTAGAGGGAGCATAGCTCTCTCGAGGAGGTGCATTTTAGCTGTGGGATGGCCGAGACGCGGCGGTTGGTGGTTTTGGCGCCGTTGCCGCGGAGTGTGAGGGACTGGACCTGCGAGAGGAGTATGGCATTTTTGGGCCTGGCGGCGACGGCGAGGAGTGGGAGGGCGAGGAAGGTTATGAGGGGGTGGATGTGCATTTTGCGTGTGTGAGTGTGTTTTTGATATTCGATTCTTGACGGGCTCCGTTGGTGGACGTGGTTTTGTTAGAAATTGGTCAGTGTGGAGTTTGCATGTCTCGCGGAGACGGGATTCATTGGGATGCCATGTGCGCGGTAGGCAAGGTTGGATGTAGGAGAAGTCTTTTATGTGTAATGGCGAATGTGACAAGCTAGATGGTTTAGAGGCAAACTTCTGGATTGCTGGAGAGGACACGATGTCCAAAGTGATTCGATTGAGGTTCGTGTGGCAAGTGCTGAGTGACGCAGCGTAAAACGGGCAAGTTTGACGCCTGAGGTCGCGGGGAATGGCCTGATTGGGTGCCCCGAACCGGAGCTACCCCTCCATGGGCGGGCAGCCACAGGTGGCTGCAGCGGAAGCTGCCAGCATGATGTGGCAAGTGCGATCGTACTCCAAGGGTCCATAAAATACTGAGTAATAAGTACGTACGAGATGGCAGCCCATCAACCACCAATATTCCAATACGGCTAAAACGTCGACGTATACGTCTACGTCACCAATTACAGCCGCTACCCTGTCAGTCCTCAAGACTGTCAAGATGATTCTGATGCGCATCGGAAAGCCAAACTTGTTGCAGGGAACTCGGGTCCCGGACAAGACCGAGGAACCCGTCGGTCTGCTAATCCGCGTTTGCCTGGCGCTGCAATTCTGAACGTTACGAATTGAAGTACGGTGTAGGTAGTAGGGACATGGCCGTGGGTGTATACTCCATGTCAGCCCCAAGTAGACGACGTAAGCAGAAGTATTGTATTGGGGGATGCCTTAAAACGTGATTCACGTTTGCACGACATGCTTGCCCCCCTCTTCGGGTGCGACAGCCGAAGTTGGCCTTGGCCAAGTTCTCGCATTCTGAAGTAGAATGCGAGAACATTCATCGAGCATGGATGGCATTCCAGACGCCAGTTTTCACAATTCAGCCTCCCGGCCCCGGCAGGCCATCTCGGATCCTAGTACCAGTCACAACTTTGCTGGCCAGGTTGGCATGGTGGGGCAGACGGGATTCCAAGTCATGGAACGGGATTGACATGGACCAGACGGTTGTTGATCTAGCCTGTCACTTGCGGCAGGAGTTGGTGTGAGGCAACAGCAGGATATTGGATTGCACCAAGCTTGAGTCGTGGAGAACGCTGAGTCTTTCATAAAGTAGCCAAGCATTGCTCTTACTTACCCAGGTACTCTTGCATGCTCCTGTGTGACGGGTGGTTGCGAATCATGGTCACTCATGCATGCCATCAGCCTCTCCGGACTCCTACACAATTCCCAGTGTTGGTGAAACGTCGTGATCAGGGTAGGCAGATACCAATTCCAGTCTCCGCATATGCCTCTGGTGTTGTGCTTCAAGATTCAGCGGCCTGCTGTCAAGACACGCTCCCGATCTTTAGACCAGACTTGGAGATCATGTGTGGGAATTGATGCCTGCTCCAGGGACCAGACGGAAACCCTTTCTGCCTCCTACCCTAGGCAGCTGCACAAGTACTGACGGCCAAGCAGAAGCGACAAGAGCGACCGACATCTCGTTTCTCATTAGCCAGCGGCGGGGACCGAGAGACTACCTAGGTACGTACCGTACGGTCCTAGCTCGTTTAGCCCTGCATCAGACTCAGACTCGTCGCGGCTTGCACTGGCCGATCCTGTGCTGGCAACATTGAACGGCCAGTGGGCCACCGCGGGCTCGGACTACTCCAAGACCCCGAAACATCTGGTCTGTTGATATCAAATCCTCACAGTTCAACGCTTTCACCCGGATTTAACAGCCACACACTAGACATCGACAAGACTGATTGACTGCATGTCCAGGCTGGCTGATGTGACCTGCACCGGAACGCTTACTGCCGCGTATGCAAGCATGCAAACCCTCCAGACCCTGCTGTACTTTGGTTCAATGTTGTCAGTCGCTGTCGGGTTGCTGGCCAATTGATTCTATATCCACCCTGGAATTTGTACCAATTGTATGTTGTGAATTGTCAACATTCAACATATTTCTCGCCTGGGTACTCTGTACGTTCTGATGGGCTATATTTCGCGGATCTCAAGTCCCTGGCAGATAATTCTCCAACATGACCTTTTTTTTTTTTTTTTTTCAAGCCCGCCCATCTGTGCCATGTCGAGTCTAAAAATACAGACGCAAGTGAGGCCCTGATGTACGGAGTATCCCAGACTGCAAAGGTGGAGCGGCGCCGAAAGGAGGCAGGCGCCCGCGACGGTGATGAATCAGGCAACAGGGGGCAATTGAGCATCCATCTCGACTTTTTTTCACTTTGCACACACAACGCCGCCCGGTATCAAATCAAAGGCACGGTTGCGCACTGAGCCATGACATCGTTTATGAAACGAATAGCTCTTCAACACATGCCCCTTGCCGTGCTGTTTTCACACAAATGAGTCATCTTGATGTCCATTTTTGCTTTCGTTCCAATCTCGAGGGCTTACCCAAACATCAACGGCATCATCCAAATGCAGGAATATACTGCCATCTTGCACGCCCCAGTCGTGACTCAACCACGGGCTTCCTAGCAGCACGTCCGGCTCCGTCATGGGGTGCGACGGCTCCGACCATGTTGCCCCTGTCGCCACACCCACTCGTAGTACTCCGTAATCCGTACTCCGTAGCTGAGATTGAAATCGTGGGCCGACAAACCGCTGGAGTATGTGGATCTGTGGGCCTAAGGGTCAAGTTGAATTGTACTGTAGGTGACTGTCTCGGCGTAAAGCCCCTTCACCTTTTGTGGCTCAGAACATTGAACCCTTGCTCAGCACACGCCGGCGTCAGCGAGACGAGCAAGGCAGAGCCCCATCATTTCCCAAGCCTCCTCGTTAATTCGATGCCTCGCTGTTCGTTGTGCTGGCGCTGTTTGTGCCCCGACCCAGGCAGTGGGCCGAGTTAGCTTGCATCGATGCCTGGGCGTCGGGCGTTGTCATTCCCGGTGCCCGTTATTCATAAGCACAACTCTGAGCAGGGACGTTGACGTTCTGGCGCAACCAGCCAACAGTCGCTAGTTACTTGAGTACGTAGACTCGGGTTTGAAGTCCGCTCTGGTCGCCTGAAAGGAGAAGCTTACCTGCTCGTGGTTAATCAAAGAACTACAAAACTAGCTGAATGCCCTCCTGTCCTCCTTGGCTGCAAGTGGGCAGGTGTGGTCGGTCTCCCAAAGTCCTTTTTGCAGAGCTCCTTCCATCGACTCTGGCTCCATAGCATTGGCCTTTCCCAAAGGAGACTTCGAATCTGCTACTCCGTGTTGCGGTCAGGCTACGTGCGAACTACTACTTAGTAGTCAACGCACCTCTTACTGACGTCCATAATCACCATTCGCATCATCAGTTTCAGATCGAGTTCTTTCCAAATAGCCTCGATTCTCATATGCCAGGTTGCAGAACAGCCTATTTCGCGTCAAGGGCGTCTTCCTACCACCCCAAAACCCAGGTGTCGATATCCTGCTGCCGAAACACCAAACCAAACTCTAGATTCGCACTAGGTGGCCGTTTTTTTCTGCGCAACGGCGCGCCAGTGTAGCCATCATGGCTAGCCAACCCGCGGAAAAGGGCACTTTGCCTTCGCAATTCGACTCAGAACGGTCCAGCAGTCGCGCCCGGGATTCCCTTGATGGCAAGGGAACTCCTCAGAATGAAAAGGCAGATCTGAAGCGAGCTCTCACCAAGGCCGACTCCAAAGTGGTTGCTGCTCCTCCCAAGGCCACAGACCCCGATGAGATGTTCCGTCATCTGCCACCAGACGAAGCCGAAGTTCTGAGACGCCAACTCGTTACGCCTGAACTGAAGCAAGGTGTTGCTGTTCTTTACCGCTATGCCTCTCGCAATGATGTCATCATCATAGCCATATCTTCTATTTGCGCCATTGCCTCTGGTGCTGCCTTACCTCTGATGACCGTCATCTTTGGCAACCTTCAGCGCACATTTCAAACCTACTTCTACTCGGCCGGTCAGATGAGCTACAACTCCTTTGTCGACGAATTGAGCAAATACGTCCTTTATTTTGTGTATTTAGCAATCGGTGAATTTGTTGTCACCTACATTTGTACTGTGGGCTTCATATATACCGGTGAGCACATCAGCGCCAAGATTCGCGAGCATTATCTTGAGAGCTGCATGCGCCAGAATATTGGATTCTTTGACAAGCTCGGTGCCGGCGAGGTGACCACTCGCATTACTGCCGACACCAACCTTATTCAGGAGGGTATCTCTGAGAAAGTGTCTTTGACTCTGGCAGCTATAGCGACATTCATCACCGCTTTCGTCATAGGATTCATCAACTATTGGAAGCTGACGCTCATTCTCTCCTCCACCGTCTTCGCTCTTTTGCTGAACATTGGTATTGGTTCGAGTTTCATGCTGAAGCACAACAAAAATTCTCTTGAAGCTTATGCTCAGGGTGGCAGTCTCGCCGACGAAGTTGTCAGCTCTATCCGTAATGCCATTGCCTTTGGTACCCAGGACCGCCTCGCAAAACAATATGACAAGCACCTTGCCAAGGCCGAATATTTTGGATTCCGCGTCAAGAGCTCCATGGCTGTCATGGTTGCTGGAATGATGCTTATTCTTTTCCTGAACTATGGTCTCGCGTTTTGGCAAGGCAGCCAGTTCCTCGTGGATGGTATCATCCCCCTTAATAAGATTTTAATCATCATGATGTCCGTCATGATCGGTGCTTTTAACCTTGGAAACGTTGCCCCCAATATCCAGGCCTTTACAACTGCTGTGGCCGCCGCTGCCAAGATCTTCAACACCATTGACCGGGTCTCCCCTCTGGACCCCAGCGACGACAAGGGTAACAAGATTGAGAACCTACAAGGAAATATTCTCCTTGAGAATGTCAAGCATATTTACCCTTCGCGCCCTGAGGTCGTGGTTATGGATGGTGTGTCTCTTGAGATTCCCGCTGGAAAGACAACAGCTCTTGTTGGTGCTTCTGGTTCTGGTAAGAGTACCATTGTCGGCCTAGTCG